GGCCAAGTTTGCCTTCCCACAGTTCTGGTGGTGGCCCAGTTTGCCCTAATTATACCATCAGAGTGTGCACACGGTTACCGGCCAAAGTGTTCCGGGAGTTACCGGCCAGAGACTTCCGGGAGTTACAGTCTACTTATATATACCAGTTTGTGATATCATTATTAATATTGCTGTTTACTTTATAATGGGTTTTTATGGAGTACAAGTGGACCGTACTCACCCCCACTTTATATTTTCAGATGACAGGGTCGGCAGGCAGGCGTGAGTCGAGCTGTGGTGATGGTGGTCGTGAGTTCCGCACGAAAGCTGTTCCAGGGACATTTGTTTAAATTGTTGTGTAAACTATTATAACCACGTATTGCAGACTTCCGCTATTCTTGTGTTTATTTTTGAACATGCATGATGATATTTTCAGACTTAAATAATTTAACCGTTTCGTCAGTACGAACGGGTCCAGACTAATATGCATGACTCGTTAAAAACATAAACCTGATTTTTTTAAGTCTAAATCAAACGTTAGAATTAGGTTAAATAATCGGGTTTTTAAGTAGAAAAGTCCTAAGCAGCATTCCGAGATAGTTTGCAAATGATTTCGAAAAATTTATCAGCGTTTTCGAAAGAGTTAAAATTTGCAAAAAATTTGGCCCTAAGTAGCGGGGTGTTGCATTACCCATACCTGACAGATACTTGTATGCATTGGGATACTCGCCAGATATACGAACTTTTGCTTCAATCAGCCATCTTATATCATTTGGGATATTTTTGAGCATGAGTATTCTCAATCTTTCTACTCGAGCTCGATAAATTCTCTTTATGATATTAAGAGGGAGAAAAGAATAGAATTTTCGGATTTTTAGCAGTGCTAAATCCATTGGTGATTTGGACCATTGCTGAAGAAGATTGAAGGATTACCAAGTTGGTTTATAGAAGAAAGATGAGTATGAGATAAGTTTTCGGGTATGATTAAATTATACGAATGTCAGAAGATGCACAGCCAGTATGCATTTAATGCAATTGAAATCAGATGTGAGATGTCGGCAATAAGTGAGATGTTGCGACATTATTATGACAGTTGAATCATTAAAGGTAAATAAAGTTTACCTTAATGATTGGAATTATGGTATGACCACAGAATGGTCAAATTATTTCACATTACAATAGAAATTTCAACGAAATTCTCGACTATAGTTAAGTCGGAGAAGTTGAAGTTAGAAAATATCAATAGTGATATTAACTAAAAAGGTTTCTCGAAAGAGAAGCAAGTTTAGTATAGTAAGATGTTAGTATAGAATGGAGATGTGACTTGTTAATGATGACAAGTGACATCGACATTAAGGTACAATGCATATAGATGTTCCGCACCCGAAGGGCCCCGGGTAGTGGGTAAATCGTATGCAATGTATCGCATAGTCAGTCAGATAAGTATTTTATATCAATTCTTCTCTAAAGTTGTCCAGTGTGCATAAAGTTTTACGTAACAATGTTACGTGAGTACGTGTGCGATTCAGAGTATGTGCTTTTGCACAATGAGTTTCAGTAAGATTTAACCTACGAGCACCAGCCGATAGAAGTTTTGGACCAGAAGGTTCATTGGCTGAGGAATTGAGATATTTCCTCGTAAGTATAAAATGGAATCGCCATATTGCATTAGATGCCACTGGGAGTGAGAAGTTGATGTTAGCACTCGTTTTCCATATTTCGAGTTCTGAGATATATATACATAATTTGTATATATCTCAGATTCAGTATTTCCGAGGGCGGAAATAGTTTTAAGGGGGGTAGATTGTAATATCCCATTCAGTAACTAATAAAAGTAATTATTTTAGTTCTAAGTTTGAACTAATTACTTTTATTAATAATGCTCGTTCCTAGTTTCGAGCCCAGTTATTAAGTTATTCAGTTAAAAGTTCGACTTTAAGTTGAAAGTATTATCGGTTAAATTTTATTTAGTAATCGAGCCAGTTCAGTAATTAATTAATTCCGGTCTGTTTATTTTTATAAATGGATTTATAAGATGGGATTAATTATAATAAGATGACGAATAATAAAAATCGAGTATATTTTGATTACTCGTTCAAGATAAGTCGTGAACCGAACCAAGCATGTTCGGTTACGAGTTAAGATTATTACCGAGCAAATGATTCTCGAGCCTAGCTTAGTTTTGAGTATTGATCAAGTAGGATTAATTAGACATTAATGTTTATTGAATTGAAATAAGTTATTTAAGATAAAGTTCAAGTTCAAGTAACATTCCATTTTATTTAGCTAAATGGATGTAAATTTGGCCATTTCTAGTTTGAATGAGAAAGAAAAAGAATAATGAGTCGAGACAAGTTAGGTCTTGAGTTCGGTTAAGTATCCATGAACATTTAAGTTATAAATATTCAAAGAAGTGAGAAAATTTATTTAGACATTTTAGTCTATTTAAATTATTTAAGAGAAATATGAAATTTTTAGAATTTTCGTTTTTTTCGGTTTTCGATTGTAGTCGGAATATATGTCCGATTTCAGTTCCGAGAAATAAATTAAATTATTTTCTCTTTATATTTTTAGTAGACTACAAGATAAGAAAAATTTTTCAGCATAAAAAGGAAAAATGCCAAAAGAAAAGAAGGAAATTTGAAAATTGTAAGAACTTTCGATTTTACGGTAACTGTTCGTTTTAAGTCAGAATTTGGTTCCGTAAATTGGAGAATTTTCACTAAATCTCGAATTTAATCATTGAGATCAGATTAGGATCAGAAGAGGGGCCTTTCTAAGCATTGACTATGGGTTGGAGAAGTTTACAAGTTAAGAATACTATTTATTATCTATATTATTTTTACAAGTTTGTATTGTTTATTTTGTTAATTTCTTCACTCAATTATGATGTCTTGCAAATTGTGCCTATAAATAGAGGCCTAAAAATCAGAGTTTATGCACCAAAATTAAGTACCAAAAGTTATATAAGAGTGTAAGAGAGATAAGTAGTAGAAACTTTGGAGAAGTGAAGAATTTGAAGTGAAGAATCAAGTTTTTATTCTAGCAAGAAGGAGGTAATTTACTTATCTTAAAGTTACATGCTTAAGTTCATGTTTTGATAATAAGTTTACATGTTTATAAGTATGTATATCATGATATAGAAGTTAAGTTTATACTTGATTCTATGAATATAAAGAGTTAAAGTTGTTCAAGATCAGTTATATGATATATGTACTTGATTTGATGAGATGTTGATAAAGATATGAATAAGCTGGAAGCGTATGATTTAAATAAATGATTATTATGTAAAAGAGGAGTACATGAAAACAAGAATTAAGAGATTTGGCAAAATATAGCTTGAGTTATGAATTTTTAAAGATGAACATGTAAGATGAAGTTTATGTTCACTATTGAATTTAAATTCTCATAACTTGATGAATATGCATGATAATATTATAAAATTTTGAGGACATGTCTAATTATAAGTTGAGATTATGACTGTTAAGTTTCATAATTTAAAGATGAGAAATGAATAAGTTATGAATATAAGAAGGCATATATCTAAAGATAAGCATATATGCAAGAATATTCATGAAATGTTTAAGTTGTTAAAATGAGATGATCATGAATAATTCTCATATAAGTGATGAGTAATTTGATGATGTTTTGGTGTAATATGTTGAGTATACAATTTTATAAAGATTGTATTATGTATGATATATTAACATCATGATTAAATGTTATGAGTAAAAGATGATATGGCTTGAGATTATTTTCACTTTCAAGTTAATTAAGTGAAAATTTAGTATAAGCCAATTTGGAGATATGATGAATGATGAATTAAGTATTTGATTGAGTAAAAGATCAAATTAATTTAAGATAAGTTTATAAATCATGTTGATGATGTTGGTAAAAGTAAGCATATTTTAAGTTTAAATCAAGTATAATGTGAAATATAGTTATTTTCACATTTGAGTTATGACATGCTAAGTATAATACCATATTAATGTTTATGAAGACATGATTTATACAAGGTTAAGTAATTGACCTTAAGTATAAATAAAAAGAGAAGTTAAGTATAAACTTGAGAAAAAGCAAGTTTAATGAATTTCTATAAGATTTGGATAAGTTAAAAATCCTAAAAATCTTATTGAGTATATGAACATAGTACTTAGTATATTTGTCTATATTTGATGTAACTTGCAGATACAGTACCAGTACAGCACTTATCGTTTTTCAAATGATTTCAAAGACAAAAAGGTAGGGACCCTGAATGGGTATCACATTGAGTACGAAATGGATGGGATGAGGAGACCATCAGTTGTCTCAGAGTATATCCTAAAGTTTAAGTTTATTACGCTTGGGATGAGAAGGCATTAATTTGTTCTCAGAGATTATATCCTAAGTTTTGATGGAGGCCGTTAGGTGCCTTAGAAATATCCATCAGAGTGTGCACACGTATCCGATTAACTATCGGCAAGATAAGAGAAAAGTTTAAGTTACCGATCAGATATCGGTTTATGATTATCCATATTCGTTACTCACCCCCATGAGTTTTAGTTTCAGGTAGCAGGTCGAAGAGGAGGTGTGAGTGGAGCAGTGTTGGTGTGGATAGTGGACTCAGATGAAGACAAGCTTTGATATGGACATTTATAATATTCTGTATAATTAACCACGTTTTCAAGTATTTCCGCTAAGCACATTAAGTATTGAACTTGCATTTTAATGAATTTCATATTTCAAGTTTTTACCATTATGAGAAATATGATTATGGTATTTTAAATGCAAGTTTAAAGGAAATCTGTTTTAATTATGTACAAAGAAGTATTAGACAAAAGTTTAAAGATAAACGGATTTTCAAGATGATGAGTTTGAGTAGCATCCCGAGTTAGTCGCAAAAGATTTCGAAAGAATTAAGTATATTCAAAGTAAAAGTTGCGAAAAATTTACTCTGATAAGCGGGGTGTTACAATTCCCTTTGAAAGAAATGCTTCCGAGTGTGCGCCGGCTGGATTGCCGGCCGGCTGAGATTTTCCAGTGGTCCTGTCGGTGACGTCGCCAGCACCGACCAAGGGTTGGACGGTGGCTGCCGTTTGGTTGTTGGCGGGGGGCGATCTGTTGGCGGGGAATGGGCTGGGAAGAAGGATGTGAGGAGACGGGCTGGGAAGTTGGCTTAGTGTTGGTGGCCTTGGGCTGGGTGGCGGGCTGGGAGGTAGCAGTTTGGGCCGTGGAGGGGGCGGGCCCATAGAGAGGGAGGCCCAAAGAAGGGCTAAGCTAGATGGGTCGTGGGTTGTGGGATAATAGGTTGAGGCACACGGGACTAGGGCCTGTGATGGATGAAGAATGAGGGATGGGGAGAGTGAGTTTGGGTCTAGGCGGCCCAATAAGTTGAGAGGCAGATTTGGGCCTAGGTAGATGCCCAATATGGTCTGGGCCGGTCAAGATGATGGGAGAGGATGTAATAGGTGGCCCAATCGTGAGCTGAGGGGAGCGTGTGGCCATGGAAGGGATAAGGTTGGGTGATGTCATGGATTTGTCAATGGTTGCCGGCAGTAGAGAGCCAAAAGTCACCGGGCATTGGGGTCGATGGTCTGCCGACGGTCGACCAAATGTCAGGAGGACAAGGTCAGCGGGCCCAGCTGGTGAGGTGTCAACTGCGGCTGGGGTCTCTCCGGGTCCTTGGGGGGAAAATGGCAGATCTTGGACGGTGGATTTTGCGGAGCCGGCGAGAGGTACCGAGGCTGAGAACCGGCTCGAATCTGGGATGGATCTATTGAATTCGTTCGTCGGGTTGCCAGATCTTGAAGTCGGGATTTCTCCCTCCTCTAAACTTGAGATCGGAAGCGTTCTGTTAAATGTAGTTGCTAGGTTAGTTAAATGTGTTCTGTTAAATCTGGGATGGATCGGAATGCGTTCTGTTATTTCTAGGTTAGTTAAATGTAGTTGCTAGGTCAGTTGAATGTAGTTGCAAGGTTAGTTGTCTGATGTTGCTAGGTTAGTTATGTCTAGTTGCTAGGTTAGTTGTCTTTAATTATTCTTTCATACATGATGCATACTAAGGTCAACGGGTCAACGTCGGAAGTCAACGGTCAACGCCGGAAGTCAACAGTCAACGCCGAAAGTCAATAGTCAACGTTGGAGTCAACGGTCAATGCCGGAGTCAACTACTAGTTATTTTTATTATTTAATTAGTGTATATTTTAATTGATTAACATAAATTCTTGATCTAGATAAAATGAGTGGCTAAGATTGAGTTTCACGTCCACATTTTAAGAGGTGGACTCATTGGGTCCATCTCCTATATATATATATATACTAGTTGGTTTTCTGTTGTGCACACACAGTCGACTCAAACTTAGTCAATAATCAAGATAAAGTCAATTATATGTACGCACTATCATACCGAGTTAAGTCGCTTATTTATTTTTTTATCATTTATTTTAATGTTAAGAGATGTTGACATAATGTTAAATTAACCAGTTGAGTTTACAATTTTTTTATTACTATTATTAAATTTAAGAATAATCATCAAAAATTAGGAAAAATGTCTAGACCGTGTATGTTGAAAAAATTGTCTGATTAGACTCGAAAATTTCTCAGAATTTAAATAAATAACAAACAAAGCAATGATAAAGAACAAACTTATTACGCAAAAGTAAAAATACCTGGAGAAAACAACACAAATTCAACCTACATCCCACTGCACTAAGACACAAAAAATAAATTCGCACACATTCAGAACATCTATAAACCAGTTTACTATTTAAAAACAGGCAATGGGTGAACATACCCATAACCATGGAGCTCGAAGACATGAGTCACCTCCTTCAAGTGCCCACTCGAATGACGAATGAGTTGCAACCACAGTAGCAATAAAAGGTCCTAGAACTCAAGTATGCTATTGAACATTATACTTACTAATGCTTGGGAAAAGTGATTGATTGTGATTATTTTTTATTTTACTTTTTAGTACTTCTGATCTGAAGAACAAATCTAAAGTTATACAGGAAGAGAAAATAATCTGATAACAACTTATTTGATATGACTTATCTGAGAATATTGGTTTGGCATCATCCGAAAAAACCTAAGTGTTTCCTAGAAGATTTTCTTGTTAGGTAAGCAAAATAAATTAAATGGAAGTTTTCTATTTATTTACTTGTTAATTAATTAAGTTCCTATCATTTATTATTAATAATATATGTTATATATTTATTATAATGTGTATTATGGAGTCCTAAACCTTTAGGAGAAAGATTACATAATATATATCTTATATGTTTACTTACCATATATGTCACATGCATTAATGAGCTTGATTCTATGCCATAATTAGTTTTCTCTTTCTTGTAGGACAAGGAATAGGTGGCAATGATTATGAAAAGATGAGATACTCACACAAGAAGAATTCTGGACGTTCTCTAGAAGATCCAAGGAGGATTTGGAAAGATTCACCACAATATCTTTGAAGATTTGAAAGATCGGCTATTTTAGGAAAGTTATATTCTTCCACGAGTCTGGAACCACGAGATTTCTATTGGAAACACAATTCTGAAGATCTCCAAATCAAGTTATATTCTTACACGAGTCTGGAACCACGAGATTTCCATTGGAAACACAATTCTGAAGATCTCCATATCACATACACGAATTCTACATCAAGGAAGATTTACTTTCCATGTTACTACACTATTTTTGGGAAGAAGATCAAAGGGGATCCTGAAAGAAGGAAAGAACTTGGAGAAGACTCCAAGCCTAAGGAGCTGTATATATACCCTATTTGAAGATAGAATCAAGGCTGCTGAAATCATTATCTTCCATTCAATATTTGAGCTTCAAGCCTTTTAGGTTTTATTTTCATTGTTCAATTTTCAGTGTTCCTACGACATTGGAGAACTGAAGCCTTTTGTTTTGATTCTTTTGTTTTTCATTCAAACACTTTTGTGATCAGTACTTAGGGATTAAGTGTTGTTTTTAGCTCGAGTGATTCGAGAGTTAAAGTCCACGGGACGTGGATGGAGAAGTAGTTGGTAGATTCGAGTATAGTTGTTGGTTAGGCTAGAAGGGAGTTCTAGTTGCTGTAATTCCAAAATACGCATGTGCACAATCGAGTTATCAATGAAAGAGCTCTGAGGGCAAGTGGGACGCTTCCCTGAAAAGTTTTTTAAATCTTCGGTTTATTGCTTCCGCTATTCTAGTTGTTTATTTGTGTTCTAACAATGTTGAGTGCACTCATCGTAAAATACCTACGTTTCAATTGGCACCAGAGCAGTGTTTCTGTTCTAATCACAGGATAAAGATCTTTGGGTCTTTGGGTTGGTCACCATGAACCACGACGGCATGTCCGTTTCGCGCCCTCCGTACCTCGTTGGATCGAATTATTGGTACTGGAAATCCATGATGGTAATTTTTCTTCGTTCTTTTGGAAAAGAACTTGGCAAGTAATCGAATCAGGCTGGTCAACACCACTCATGCCTAAAGCTACTTACGAATCCAAGATCTCTGAGTCCTCGGAGTCAAACATCAACCTTGGCCGCTCTTGTTCTAGTCGAGAAACCAAGGGATCTGTGGACTGATGCGGAAAGGCTAGCAGAAGAAGCCAATTTTCGTGCTCTCTACGCAATAATGGCGGCGGTGGACCCAACTAGTCACAAGATGATCATTCAGTGTACCACGACACGTGATGCATAGAAGATTCTCTAGAGGCAATTTGAAGGTACCAACGCCGTGAAGTCATCCAAGCTACAAAGGATCACTACGGAACTTGATGCAATCAAGATGAGAGAAGACGAGACTATAGATGTAACACCCCGCTACTTTATCAGAGTAAATTTTTCGTAAATTATATTTCGAAAAATACTTATAAATTTTTCGAAATCGTTTTAACTTAATTCGGGATGCTACTAAAATTATCTTTCTGAAAATCTGTTTTTCTTAACTTAATCTAACTATTGGGTTAGACATAAGAAAACAGATTATAAATGTTCAAATCAAATTAACATGTAAATTTGAAAATCTTAAATTAAATAACATGCCAGTTTGATGAAATGCGTAGCGGAAATACCAAAAGCGTGAAATCATTATACAGACAGACTTATTTAAAATTTCATGAATCAAAGGTCCGTTTAAAGAAAGTGCATTGAGCCAGATCCACAACCATAACCACCACAGCTTGCTCTCACACCTCCGGCCCGACCTTGTAACCTGAAAAACACAATGGGGGTGAGTACTAGTCCTTTTGTACCCCGAAATCACCCAGATTAAAGTAAACAACAATAATAATACCAACATCATGATCACAGATATATATATATATATATATATATATATATATATATATATATATAAAACTGAACCTCCTGGACACTTGGTCGGTAACTGAACTTATCTCCCGAACACTTGGTCGGTACCGTGTGCACACTCTGATGGAATACTAAGGCAAACTGGCCACCATCAGAACTTAGGAAAGACAATCTCGGCCTTTACCCTAAGTGGACTTAACTGCATACCTTTTAAATGATATCAATATTATAATCAATGTAATACCCAGGCTGGGTCCTCACCTTTCTTGTTTTGAAATTGCGTAAGTGCTGTACTGGTAGCTTTCTCGTCAAGCTACATAAAAATAAAAACAAATATACTAAGTACTATGCTCGTTATACTCAATAAGATGCTAGGATGCTCTTTTCTATCAGCTAACATATCCAGATTTAAATGAACACTCTAGGGTTCTATGAAATAATACTATGTCCAGACTGATATACTTTAACTGGACTGGTTTGGCTTTGTAAATTCCCAAAATCTCGGAATAGAACTTAGACTGAAAATCTTGAACTAAAACTGACTCGAACAGCCGGCCAAACCGGTCGGTTCGCTGACTGGGTAGACCGGACCGGACTGAAATGGACCACCGGTTCACTGTGGACCGGACGGTCACTCATGTCTCGCGTTGGCCCGGCTCGGTCCCGCACAAGGCAAGCTGGTCCCTGGCGCGGCGCTGCTAGCACGGCTGGGTCCCCACCGAGGCACGGGCTGGCGCTGACAGGCACTGACTGGCCCTGACCGGCACTAACCGGCGCTATAGGCGCGGCCAGTGACCGTGACCGAACTTCACCAACCTCTTGGTGACTTCTCTAGTGAAAATTGAATTAATCCAACATATTTCAATGTACTAAGTTAAAAATGAAAAGAAACCCTGATAGAATTCAGTTGGATTTTAAAATGGCTCGATAGGCTAATATGGCATGATATGAACACTAGGTCACCAAATAAACTTATCTATCTTACAAATATGACCAAGGCCGAATATTTACCTTTACAAATCATGAATTTAAAGGCTTGGATATCGGCTTTTACTTGCATGCATCTAAAATGACTCGGTAGTGAAAATATGCTAGATTTCACATGATACTTGACCGAGTAAACGAACTCAAAACCTGCACAAATTTTACCAACATCATATACATGATTTATAAGGATTTTTAAGCTATCAAACTCAGCCTAACCATATTTGTACTAAAAATCCGAATTTAAGCTCTTAAACTTCAAAAATTTGAAACTCTTTATTAAGCATGAACATGACTTGATTTTTCTTCATGAGAAATCTTAAAATATCATAATAAGGCTAGGAAAATCAAAAGCCACGAGATTACCTTCACCGAAATGCTATTCAGGTGATAGGGTCCTTTGCTCGTGCTCGGTTGGGTCTCTAATGTCCTTATGTTAATACAATCTCTTTTGCTCAGAGATGATGGGCTAAAAACACTTATATTGACCCAAGAAACAATATGGTTCGAGAGGACCTCGATGAAAAATTACTAGAACTAGTTGTAGTTCGAATAGTTTTTCACCCGTGCCTATTTGCTCTCGCAATACTTATCTTGTTTCTCTTGAGCTATCTCTCTCTCTAACCGAGGTATGCTCGTGTTTTTAAGCTTTGTTGTGCTCTAAACTCAGGTATGAAGGGGTATTTATAGGCTGGCCCGAGACAATATGCACAATAAAGTATAGGTAAGTGGTTAAGCCTCCCATATGCATCTTAAGTGTTGTATAATTGACTTGCTTGTCTTTATGCTATTATGCCCGACATTAGATGAGATTTGCTGAACCAAAATGATCCTTGTCTGGTCTCTCATGTTGTAGGAACGTTCCATAGCCAACTCTTGGTTGTAATAAGACAAAACTCCAACTAATGGCTTAAAAATATTGCAACTAGCACATGCTACACTTGTCGCCACATGTGGTTGACCTCTCTTACATTTCCACCGAACCAAATTAGCTAAAACCACTCTTAATCCATGTGGTTACACTTGCACATCATATGGTTTGAAGAAAAATTGCTAGAAAATACACCATTGACTCCAGAAGTAGGTTGTTGCTGCACCCGGACGCTTTCTAGGCGCGCTGCTGGGCGCGGCACTGCTGCGGGCGCGAGGTCTGGCTGAGAGGCGCGGCGCGGCACGGGGTCTGGGCATGCTGGGCGCACGGTGCGAGGTCTACTAGCCCGTGCGTGCTTGCTGCGCGTGAACTATCCTTGAACCAAGACTTTGGCTTAATTTTATATCTAAAATACTTAGAAAAATCCCACATAACATAAAATATGACTTAATCTATCTTGGCTCGGTTTGACCTCGGTACTAATGTGCAAGGTGCACAAGACCGAACCTTGACCCTTGGCATGGACTATTGGCACTAGCGACCTCGAATGAGACTCGACTTATACTTAGGCTCGATATTATGAACTTTAGCTTGATGACTTGAACACTTAGAAAAATTCTAAGTATTTAATACTAAGGCTCAACTATAACTAAGGAATTTCTCGTCACAGCTCGTGACCAAATATGATTTATTCAGTTCGCTACTTGTCTTGAACGATTAACCAAAATATACACAATTTCGATTATTTGTCATCTTATAATTAATCCCATCTATGAATCTTTATAGAAATAAACGGACTGGAATTAGTTAAATTCTAAACTGGCTCGATTACTTAAATAAT